ATTTACGATGAAATGGTTTTTTAGTATCTTTTTTTATTGTTTGTTTGATATGTTCTTTTTTTATTTTTTTTGGCTTTGTTAATTATTCTTGTTCCTTATGGAAAGTGGGTGTATAGTTTTTCAGATGTCTTATCAAATTTAACTTTTTCTTTTTTTATGTGTTCTGATATATTAGATACATTGTCACATTATATTTTGAAATATGTTTCAGGCTTTTTCTTTGACATTATATTCTAATTCCCCAGAAGTTAAGTTTAGATTTTCATCTTGGCATACTGTTTTTCATTCAAATTTTTATATGTTTGTCAGTTTTCCTGTGCTGCTCATCAAATCTCACCAACACACAGAGCAAGTGTTTAGGTGATTTTGCGGTGTCTTTTTTGACTTGGTAGTGAATTTCTATCGAAGAAAAGAGAAAGAAGCCATGGTTGTCAAGACCTGTTGGGGTTGAAGACCCGCGTGATAGGGGGGTAGTAATCTTGTTATTCATAATCAACTGGAGCGTGATACGATGGATGGTGATGATGATCTTCCCGGTTTTTATTCTGTGGTATACTAGATAATTTCTCCATTTTCATCCATTGATCCTGTTGAATTTTTGGAATAAAAAAATACCTTGCAAGATCTGCCCCATACTTTTTACATGTGTGTGTTTGTGTGTATTTCGTTCTCTTCCTCAATTTGATCTTGTCAGTCTTTAAATATATAAATTTTGAAATTGTGGCCTGATTCTCTCTTTCATTTATTCCAAATCAATCAGCTTTTCTATGAAAAGAATGGGAAAATCGTTGGGGGTTTGGTCTAGTCTATCATCGCTAGAACATTACGCTTGAAATCGAAAGAATATGGAGTTGAACATGAGAAAGAGCACAACATAGTACTTAGCACTGTTTTGATGACAATTTAACTTAAAAACCGTTTATCCGTTTATCCGTTTTACAAACAGGAATTGGTTGGGATTATCATTTTCTGGGTGTCTATTAATTAATTAAAAACCTAAATTCCGATTCTTAAATAGTTGAACCACTGAGATTGTAAAAGCTCTTTATCCAAAATGTGAAGTATTCATTAGTGCTCATTTAGTATTCATTAGTGCAATTCATTACTGGAAGTTGTGGCAACCTTCGTTTGCTATTTTTTTTTGCTGAAGACAAAATTGTTTGTAAAACTGAATTGGATCGGTTCCTTGTTGTGTGCTGGATCCAGTTGGGTTGGTAGGACGTTGATGCGGTGTACGTGATGCGCGCCGTGGATAACGATTGTTGGCACGATTAAAACCAATTTTCATATTTTGCAAAACGAATGAGATCTGAAAATAAATTCCAGTTTATTGAATCATTTTGAGGTAGAAAAATGGTCTGGATTTCGAATAATGGTGTAAACATATGTAAAAGGGTTTCCGTGGTTCTGGAAGTACCTGAATTAATAGAATTGTGGGGAGGTATGAAGTGCGACATATGCGCTTACCAGCATTTGCCATGTATTTGTCGTTTTGTGATCCTTGTCTCTGCCCCAAAGCGAAACGGTTTGCCTCATGCAATCACTAAATGTATCCCAATATTCTGGATTGAATCCACGACCCTGTAACATTGTATGTCGTTCTCCAAGTGCCTAAAATGAGAAATGTTGAGTGAAATAAAACTGATAATTTTGTACAAAATTGATAATTCAATAGGACATTTCTTTCTTTTTTCTCATTAAATATGTGCTTAATATCCTAAACCGGAATGATATTTATATATTTTAATCTCATCCTTAATGCTTTCGAAAGTACACACTTCAAAACTCATTAAAAAATTTTGTATCATTTATTGTCAATTTAACAAAAAAAAAAAAAAAGAAAGAAAAAAAAACAGACTCAGGATATTCCTCGATTTTTTTTTTAAATTTAAATATGGGCACAATTAATATCGAACTAGAAATAGTAGACCTGAAAATGTTGCTCTAATTTTTCCTTATAAGCAACATTTTTAACAATATAATCGAATGATTTTGTAAAAACAATAGCATGACGTCTGAAACGTGGATCATATTTTAGACGTCCTTCTGGAATTTTTTGCAAGCCAAATAAATGCTTCATTTCTGGTCGTGCAGTTAGAATGCGACCAAATAATTGAATTCCAACTTGTTCTCTTGCATTACTCTGAATTTTAGAAAAATTTCCTTTCTCTTTTTTCTTTTTTAAAGTATTTTTAAAAAAATTTGACGACAAATTTAATCTTATCATTGCAATTTTTCTTCCTTTTTTTTTTCCAACTTTCCATTAAGGGAAAAGGATTGTGATGGTGACATTTAAAAAATTTGCATGTATCTCTAACATGTACTTTTTGAGCGTTAATAAAATAAATTTCTTAATTTAATGACAGCTTCACAATTTTAAATGTAAGAATAGCAGTTTTATTTTAAAATTGAAATTTCATTCAAAGTCATTAATGATACATAAGAGAGGAAGAAAGAGAGAGAGAGAGAGCGAGAGAGGGAGTGGGAAGAGTAAATGCAGTGAATCATAAATTACCGTAATATTTTATCAAATTACAAAAAATAAATAAAAATTGAAGTAAAAACAAAATTTGCTTAAATAAACAACATAACTGTCAATATGATTTTTATTTTTTTCTCCTTTACTTGTATAATTTTTACATTTATGTGATAATAGTGGCGGAAGAAAGTGATGAATGGTATAATTCCTCTTTGCAAATGATAAATTATCCTTGAAAAATTTCATAATTAATGAGATAAGCTAAGAAGAACGAAAGGCTTAATACCTTAGTTGCTCGCTTCCAACTATTTTCAATCGTTATCCTTTGACTTTTTGACAACCATCCTTCAAATTTTGTCTCAGTTTGTTCAGTAGTAATGGACTGATTATCCACTGATAAACAATCAATATTTTGGGCTAATTCTTTGACAACAGTAGCAAATGTCGTTGAGTTATCATTTGTTAAAGGAATTCCCGATGAACCATTTGATTGTTCGACAGCATTCATTACTTTTCATAATATTTCTTTTACGTAATTTTTAAAAATTTTTTTTTCTTTTTTTTTTTTTGTTTTACAGTAATTACACTTGTCGCAAATTAATGATCTCAATACGTTATCCAAAAGTTTGGATGAAGAAATAGGTGTTGAGAAGAGTAATAAAATGCTGATAGCTTTTATCAGCTGAAGTCAGATCTGTTGAAATTTGAAATCATCATGAAGTAAAATGGAGCATAGAATACATTCGCTGCTTAAAATAATAATTTAGTTTCCTTTTATGTAAATGAAATATGTTTATGTCATAGGAGAATAAGATTAGAAAATCACAATTTATTTTCGTAAATAAAATATTTTCTGAGTTATGTTCGAAGCATGATGAATATATTTAAAGTTTTTATCGATAATATAATTAAGGTTAATCTTGATGAGGTAAAAGAATAACAAAATGAAATAAATTAATTTATACGATTTAAAAAATCATTCGTCAAATTTCATCAATTTAAATTTCTACAACAAATCATCATTTCATAATTTCACATATCCTATTAACAATATTTTTTGAATATGTTCGATTCAGTTAATACTTAATACAAGAAATGTATCCCATATTTCATGCAATATATTGAGGATAAATTTTAACGATATAATCTATTAAATTGCAACGTTAATCTCTATTCTCTTCATTCTTCTCCTCAGAAAAAATAAATAAATAAAAATTAAGACGGTAAAAAAAAAAAAACAAGCTTGATAATTTAAGAAAATAAATGATTGCCACATAATGTTGAAGACAATTTAAAAGACAGCTTTATCCTGAATAATTTCCTTTAAATTAGATTACTATAAGAATACAATTTTATCGCAAGAATCCTCAACCAAAAATGCACCAATATAGGGTAAATACCTTTTCGTGCTTATTTACTTTAATTTCTTTAGGATGATTGTCAAAACGAAAAACGACCAACGATTAAAACAATTCAATTACCTTTTATCTACCATTTCTACAATCTTTAAAATTCATAGTTGCAGCACACATTTATCTCCTTCGCCAACAATAAATATATTATCATTTTAAATCTACAAACTATTTTTTATGAAGTATTTTCCTTCTATTTCTTTTTTTTTTATTCTTAAATAAACAAACGAAAAGGCTTAATTTAATTTGAAAAAAAAAAACTCTCGAAAAAAATTACTTTGTTAAATTTACCAAAAAAATTTCATGAATTTTTAAAAAAAAAATGTTTTTTTTCTTTTGTTTGAAATTAATATTGGTCAGAAATTTTAGTAAATTAAGAGAAAGAAATGGAAAATATATGAGCAATGAAATTTCGTAATGAAGGAAAAGTATTTTGAATGAATAAAAGAAAAAAAAAATGCATCATCATTATGCAGAAATATAAGGTTTTTAAATAAATCTCAAGAAAAAAAAAAGGGGAAAAAAAAGGGAAAACGGAACGATTAAATCCTTGCAAATAAATGTATATAATAATTAAAATGGAACACGGACATGCAAGAATTATTGTTTTTTTTT